GAAACTCTTATCTCCAATAAACCACCAGAAAACCGGAAGTGGCACTGTACATCAAGTAGTAGAGCGCTAGCCTTGAGCTGAAGAGCTGAGGGACAGCGCCCAGGCCCAGAGTTCAAGCCCCACGACCGACAAAAAAAAAAAAAAAAAAGCCTATGTGTTAGTTTCAATAGATAAATATGAGCTTTTGGATTATAATCTTTGATCAGAAAGCCCCATCTTTTTTTTTTTTTTTTTTTTTGGTCTGCCAGTCCTGGGACTTGAATTCTAGGCCTGGGTGCTGTCCCTCAGCTCTTCAGCTCAAGGTGAACGCTCTACCACTTGAGCCACAGTGCCACTTGGATTTTTGGTGGCTTATTGGAGATAAGAAAGAGTCTCATGGACTTTTCTGCCTGGGCTGGCTTTGAACTGTGATCCTCAGATCTCAGCCTCCTGAATAGAATTACAGGTATGAGCCACTAGCACCTGGCTCATTGGTATTTTTATTACCTGGATTAAACTACCTATATTCCCTCAATAGTTCAGAGTTATAAAATAACATTTTCACAATCTTTATGTATATTAAAACATTCAAACTGGTAGAGCGCTAGCCTTGAGCTGAAGAGCTGAGTGACAGCGCCCAGGCCCAGAGTTCAGGCCCCACAACCGGACCCCCGCCCCCCCCAAAAAAAGAAGTCTTCATTAAAGCATTCAAACAAAAAAGAAAAGTCAGCTAAATAAGTGATGTGTCCCGCAAGAGGAAGTTCAGCATGACTACACAAAATCAGCTCAAATATAAAGAATCCAAAAAAAAACTTTAGGATTTTACAAATAACAAATTTAACAGAATAAAGTTAAAAGAGCCATTTAAAAATAATATCTGGTCTCCAAAGGGCAGCAGAATTAACTTGTTCATGCTCTCAGTACCTGCATTTTATACAGGATTTTTCCCATACAGACATACCACTCCTGAACAAACATGCTATTTAACTGCTTTAAAGACATGATTTTAATATTAAACATCTAATAGGGCCAAGTGTCATTGGCTCACACGTGTAATTCTAGCTACTCAGGAGGCTGCGATCCAGATGATTGCAGTTCAAGGCCAGCCTGGCAGTGTGTAAGAGCCTATCTCTAAAATAATCAGCTAAGGGCTGGGAAGGTGGCTCAGTGGTAGAGTGCTCAAGGCTCTGGGTTCGTTTCTTCAGCACCACATAAACAGAAAAGGACGGAAGTGGGCACTGTGGCTCAAGTGGGAGAGTGCTAGCCTTGAGCTGAAGAGCTCAGAGACAGAACCCAGGCCCAGAGTTCAAGCTTCACAACCGACCAAAAAAAAATACTTTTGCCACTACAGGGCTGGAGGTATAACCTAATGTAATGGTTAGTGCTTACATACTAAACACAAGAACCTGCGTTCAAATCTCGGCCCTGTAAAAAAAAAAAAAAGCTCAAAATAATTCTACCACTAGGCTTTGTAAAATAATATTCACCAAAAATGATATAGATAAAATTAAAGCAATTGCTAAAATAAAGCTCAAGTTATTTGGCAACAAAAATAAAAACTGCAAAGAAAAACTTTATCAGGACACAATAACTGATGTAACATGAAGTTACAAATTGGTACACTTTTTTTAATCTATACAAGAGCAGTTTCAATGGATAATTCTTCAAAAATATATTGACTGTTCAGTGCAGATATCAGTAGGCAAGACATCTGTAAAACTAAAAACCACTATGAAGTATACATGTTCAGTGGTGATAGAAAAGTACCTTGGGGGACTGGGAAGGTGGCTCAGTGGTAGAGTGCTTGCCTTGCATGCCTGAGGCCCTGGGTTTGATTCCCCAGCACCACATAAGCAAAAAGAAAAAAGCCAGAAGTGGCGCTGTGGCTCAAGTGGTAGGGCTCTAGCCTTGAGCTGAGAGCTGAGGGACAGCGCCCAGGCCCAGAGTTCAGGCCCCATGACCGGACCCAAAAAAAAAAAAAAAAAGTACCTTGGTGGGCTGGGAAGTTGGCTCAGTGGTAGAGTGCTTGCCTCGCATGCATGAGGCCCTGGGTTCGATTCCTGAGCACCACACAAGCAGAAAAAAGCCAGAAGTGGCGCTGTGGCTCAAGTGGTAGGGCTCTAGCCTTGAGCTGAGAGCTGAGGGACAGCGCCCAGGCCCAGAGTTCAAGCCCTACCACCGACCAAAAAAAAAAAAAAAAAAAGTACCTTGGCATACAAAGAGCAATCTTCACTCTACAGAGATTCTCTTCAGATATGGATTGAAGTGCAGTTATTGTGGAAAGCTGGCATTTGAGAAAAAGGTAAAAATAGATTTCTGCATTGAAAAGAGTCCCAAGTACATGGAAGGGTATATATCTATAAGAGGTTGAGAATATTTGGGACTAAAAATGAACGAGCCATTCCATTGGGATGTTTCAAAGAGAACACCAGTGATGCATGGCATTTAATAACTGATTACCTAAATTCTACCAAGTACCATGCACTAACCCCAAGTGTACCCAGGGCTTCTGAAACCTGTAGTCGTAACTGTGAAAGACCACAGAAATCACTTCACATGAATTAAAGGTGTTGGTAGGGAAGAATCTTCTGATTTCCTTTTAGTGATCAAGATTTTAAGGGAGCTAGTGTGACACAGCATAAATTAAGGAATCTCCTTGCCCAAACTGCACACATTGATCTATAAGGTTAGACACAGATTACAGAGTCCTTTAAGACAGCAAAAGATGCTAGGGATGGCAGTCTTGTTAAATTCGTATTAATAAATAAATCAAATGAAGCGTGGGAATTTCTTATTTGCTAGCTCTTGAAGGGAAGAGAACCTAGGCAGTCATCAGCCACCCAACACCATTGTTAGTAGCAGGGAAGAGGAGAAACTTACTCTGTGCCCAGCCTTAGTGGAATGCAGAAGTTGATTGCAGACAGGGGAATGAAAAAAAAAAGGGGAGTGAAATATGACCAATGTTAAAAGAAAGCAACAAAAAGAAACAAAGACCCATACCAAATGAAGATGCCAAAAATTGTTAAATAATTTGAATGTTATGAAAGAAAATGTTAAAAAAAATCAGCTCTGCTCAAAACAGATAAACAAAAAGAAGCATTTACTGTATTTTTAAAAGACCACACCAACACAGTTTTTATAAATTTGTTTTGTCAATCTTCGATTTTCCTAATCTTGCCCTCCACACCGACGTCCCTTTTTTGGGGGGTAGGGGGTAAGGCCCTACCTACCACTTGAGCCAAAGCTCCACTTGCAGCTTTCTTGGTGAATTGGAAGTAACTGTCTCATGGACTTTCCTGCCAGGACTGGCTTCTAATCATGATGCTCAGATCCCACTCTCCTGAGTAAGGATTACAGGCATGAGCCACTGGCATTCACCTGTCTCTTTTGTTTCCCATTCTGCTTAGATTATTTCTAAGATTATATAAAGTAATACTTATAAGACAATTTGAAAAATTCCTCAGGAATATTTCAAAGGCTAATATTTTCTTTTCATTTTGGGGGTAGGTCTAATAATTATCCAAGTATGCTGATTTTAATACATTTGTGTTCAAAGTTCTAGTACTGAAAAACTAAATTATTTTTTTGTAGAAAATGTAATATAGTACCATGAATTCAATATCAAGTGTTGAAAATACCTAGTATAGACAAATAGGTGATAAATACTAACAAATTCAATAGGCTAACACCTTTCCCGCATCTACATGCGCTTGCCCTAGACTATGGACACTATAAAATGTTGAATGTCTCCTTTGCCAAAAAAAAAAAAGGCTAATGCTAAAATTGTGCCAAGTGTCCTTTCACGTGAGAAGTGACGCTAAACCGCCCTCCCGCCCGCCCCAGCCTCCACAAACCACTTCGGACCCAGGAACGTGCAATCACGGCCTGTAACGGCTCCGTCTCCCTTCGGATTTCGTGTGTCAACATGACCATACCACAGATTACATGTCCGGAAGCAAAGGCCCAAGCAGGAGTGAAGATAAAGGGAGAATTCCACGACCACGACACGGGCCCCCGAAGAGCAGCGTGAGGGGCGCCTAGGAGCAGCTGGATCCCGCGGTGAGAACCGCCCCCCGCAGGAGCCCGGGGGAGGCTGGGGGCAAGGTGACGAGCTGCTGAGGAGCGCTCCGAAGCCACCCCCGCCGCCCGCGCCGGGCCCGCGCCTCGCCGGGATGTGAGGCGCCCCGGGGAGACGGCGCCCGCCGGCGGGGAGCGCCCGCGCCCTCCCGCCTTCCCGCCCGGACGCCGGCCGCCGCCGCGGGGTGGGGGGGGGGGCGCCGACAACTACCGCGGCCCGACGCGCGGGGGGCGCCTTATGCGGGACAGACGCAGGGAAGCGTCTGGAAGCCGAGGGGGCCGCTCGGGGCCGGGGCCCAGAGGCCTTCCCAGCTCGGCGCGCGCATCTTGTGACCCGAAGAGCAGCTGAGGGGAGCCGGGGCGGGGGGGGGGGGGGGGGGCTCCGACGACGCCGGGACCTGCGGGCGGGACCCCGCCTGCGCCGGCACCCGGGGCGCCGGCTCCCGGGCTCGGGCGAGGCCGCCGCGCCCAGACGTGGCCACGCCTCTTTCCTAGCCCCACTCGGAGGCCTGCACCAGGCCGGCGCCTCTGCCAGGCCCGCCAGCGCCTCGGGCCTCGCCCGACCTCTTCTCCTGAGTCTCCCCGCGGAGCCCGACACCGCAGCACCGCGGCCGAGCGCCGGGCCCCCGCCACCGAAGCGGCCGCGCTCACCATCCTGTCACGCCGCTCCGCTCGCTCACCGCCAGCACCGCAGCCCTCTTCCCCTGACTTCCCGGTCCCGCCCCCCCCACCGCGACCAATGAGAAGCGAGGTGGTCAGGAGAACTCTACGGGGGCCCGCCCCCTCGTCTCACGACCAATGACAAGGGAGGTCTGCAAGCGAATTCTACGGAGGACCGCCCACCCCCGTAACGACCAATGAGAAGAAGAAGAATTCTACGGAGGCCCTCCTAGGCCCTTTCGAGCCGGCTGCGCCTTGGAAAGCTCTAGAAGGGGAGTGGAGCGATTGCCTAGCTCGAAAGGAGCGGGCCACATCCGGGTATCGGAGTGCGTGCTCGCCGCGCGGCCTGCAGTGTAGCGCCGGCGGCCATGCTGAAGTGCACGATGAACGGCGGTCAGCTGAAAGGTGCTTCTCGCGTAGAAGGGGGAAAGCCTGAAGTCCACGAAGCGGTTCCGGCTTGAGGCCGCGCGCCCCGGGCCCCGCCGGCGCCGCAGCCCGAGCACGAGGCCCAAGTCCTTCTGTGTTATTTACGTAGATTTGTTGTTGCTGTTTGTCGGTTGTGGGGCTTGAACGCGGCTGTCCTGGCTCCGTTGCTCAAGGCGAGCGCTCTGCCACAGGAGCCACAGCTCTACTTCCGGCTTTGGGGTGATCCGTGGAAGAAAAGAGTCTCACCGACTTTCCTGCCTGGGCTGGCTTCGAACCATGATCCTCAGATCTCAGCCTCCTGAGTAGCTGGGATGACAGGCGTGAGCCACCAGCGCATTGTAGTTCTTAAAGCAATGTGACATTAGTGTATACTGCTATGTAATGTATAATTACATGTGTGTATATATCAGTTGAACAAATGCCAGATATAGTCACTTGCTTTTTGGTTTGACAAAAATCAACACATTCTATTAGTTAACAGGAAGTTGTGCTAATGTGTCTGGGTAGACTGCCAGACACATTAGCTACATATAGCAAGTCAACTCCCCTCATGGTCTTGCATTTAGCTTTATAGTTGTCCTAGTAGAACTTGACACAGCGTAAATTGAGGTCATCATGGTTAACCTGAGCATACTGGATGCTAAAGAGAAGCCAAATGTTATAGTTTATAGGGTTCAGGGTGAATGGTAGAATCATACTGAACCTGTGTATGCATTTCAAAAATAGGTAGTAAAGTTTGGGTAGAACAGATGTCAGCAATTTCCCAAATAACCACTTGCTGGATGATGAGCTGTAGTATCTACAATCCTAAAAACTCCTCCATTTCCTTTTTCAGGAATTTGACCCAAGGACAGAGACAAATGGTTCAATTGAAGAGTCAAGAGAAAATACCATTAAATTGACCCAGTTTTTTTCTAAATTATAAAATCAGCTGTAGTTTTCAGAGATTACAGTTCATCCCAGTTTTCTTTACCAATGTATCTTGTGTTCTGCATGCTGAGAAAAACCATAAGCAGCACTTTCTTTTTTCTCCATAGTCTTTGGGAAGACAATCCAAGCCCTAGCACGGCTGAGTAACGAGCTGTGGCTTGACCCATCCAAACAAGGTGTAAGTAAAAGCATCAAGCTATAGGCATTGTGTTAAAGCAAGAAGTGATGTTGAGGCCAGACACCTGTGGCTCACACCTGTAATCCTAGCTACTCAGGAGGCTGAGATCTGAGGATCGCACTTCAAAGTCAGCCCAGGCAGGAAAAGCTGTGAGACTCTCTTTTTTTTTTTTTTTTGGTTGGTCGTGGGGCTTGAACATTGGGCTTGGGCTCTGTCCCTCAGCTTTTCAGCTCAAGGCAAGCACTCTACCGATTGAGCCACAGCGCCATTTCCAGTTTTCTGAGTGGTTTATTGGAGATAAGAGTATCACGAACTTTCCTGCCCAGGCTGGCTTTGAACCGTGATCCTCAGATCTCAGCCTCCTGAGTAGCTAGGATTACAGGTGTGAGCCACTGGCACCTGGCCTGTGAGACTCTTATCTCCAATAAACCACTAGAAAACTGGAAGTGGTGCTGTGGCTCAAGTGGTAGAGTGCTAGCCTTGAGCAAAAGGAGCTTAGGGATAGTGCTTGGACCAAGAGTTTAAGACCCAAGGCCAGAATAAAAGAAAAATTTAGGGAGAATCCACATAAAAGTCTCCGTTTTTGCTTCTGTTTAAAAAAATCAAAAGACCTGACAATTCTGGGCTTTTGTTTTGTTTTGTGCCAATCCCTAGGTTTGAACTCAGAGCCTGGGATCTATCCTTAAGCTTCTTTTTTTTTTTTAAGGCTGGTGCGCTACCACTTGAACCACAGCTCCACTTTTGGCTTTTTGATAATTTATTGGAGAGAAGAATCTCAAGGACTTTCCTGCACTGGCTGGCTTCAAACCAAGATCCTCATGTCTCAGCTAGGTTGAGTAGCTAGGTTTATAGGTGTGAGCCACTCTGGGTTTGTCTCAAGGAATTAGTTGGTTGGAACTAAGTAATGCTTTCTTACCTTAGAGAAGGTGTGAGACCTAAGTTGGCTATAACTCCTTTGTTTGTGTGTATGGTACTGGGGTTTGGGTTTGAACTTAGGACCTTGGGCTTGATGTTCAGGTGCTCTACTGGTGAGCTACACCTCAACACCATTTATTTTTTCTTTGTTGGTGCTGAGGTTTGAAGTCAGGGACTGGATGCAATCCTTAAGCTTTTCCTTTCAAGACTATGGGCTGGGAATGTGGTTTAGTGGTGGAGTGCTTGCTTAGCATGCATGAAGACCTGGGTTCCATTCCTCACTGCCACAGAAACACAAAAAGCCAGAATTGGTGCTTTGGCTCAAGTGATAGAGCACTAGCCTTGAGCAAAAGCAGCTCAGGTACAGTGCCCAGGCCCAGAGTTCAAGCCCCAGGACTGGCAAAAAAAAAAAAAAAGCAAATGATCAAATGATCTCCCCTTAAGACAAGTGCTCTACCACTTTGAGCCACAGCACCACTTCCAGTTGTCTGGGTTAACTGAAGACAAGAGTCTCCTAGGCTTTCTTGTCCTGGCTGGCTTTGTTTTTTGTTTTTAGTTTTTTGTTTGTTTTTTGTTGTTTTGTCGGTTGTAGGGCCTGAACTCTGGGCCCGGGTGCTGTCCCTCAGCTCTTCAGCTAAAGGCTCTACCACTTGAGCCGTAGTGCCACTTCTGGCTTTTCTGCTTATGTGGTGCTGAGGAATCAAACCCAGGGCCTCATATATGCAAGCACTCTACCACTGAGCCACCTTCCCAGCCCTCCTGGCTGGCTTTGAACCGTGATCCTCAGATCTCTGCCTCCTAAGTAGCTAGGATTACAGGTGTGAGTCACCAGCACAGTCTCAGCACCTTTTTTTTTTTTCTTTTTGGTCAGTCGTGGGGCTTGAACTCTGGGCCTGGGCACTGTCCCTCAGCTCTTCAGCTCAAGGTGAGCGCTCTACCACTTGAGCCACAGCGCCACTTCCATTTTCTGGTGGTTCATTGGAGGTAAGAGTCTAATGGACTTTCCTGCCTGAGCTGGCTCTGAACCTTGATCCTCAGATCTCAGCCTCCTGAGTAGCTATGATTATAGGCATGTGCCCAGTTCAGCACCCTTTTTGACACTGGTTAGTTTGAAGTAGGTTCCCCCTGCTCAGGCCTGCACCTGGACCACAGTTCTCCTATTCTCTGTTTTCCATCATAGCTGGGCTGACAGGTATGTGTCATCATGCCAGATTTTTATTTTTTTTGGCGGGGGGGGGGGGGGGGGGTCTGGTCGTCGGTCCTGAACTCTGGGCCTGGGCGCTGACCCTCAGCTCTTCAGCTCAAGGCTAGCTCAAGGCTACTACTTGAGCGACAGTGCCACTTCCGGCTTTTTTCTTTTTGCTTATATGGTGCTGAGGAATTGAACCCAGGGCCTCAGGCATGCAAGGCAAGCGCTCTACCACTGAGCCACCTTCCCAGCCCCGCCAGCTTTTTTTTTGAGATGAAACGTAGCAAAGTTTTTTCACCTGAGCTGCCTGAAACTTTGATCCTTTCAATCACATCTTTCTATTAGCTAAGTCATCATGACCCCTAGCTACTGGTTGGGGTCTTGCATGCTCAGGCTGGCCTTTTAACTATGATCCTCTTGATCTCAGCCTCCCGATTAGCTAGTGTGAGCTACAGTGTCCAGTGTGATTCCCTTTTCTAGTGCCTTCTGCCACTACATGTGTTAAAGTTAAGGCCCCAGTGGTGCTGTGGCTCAAGCAATCGATCACTCGCCTTGAGCTGAAAAGCACAGGGACAGCACCTAAGCCCAGAGTTCAAGCCCCACGACTGACCAAAAAAAATTTTTTAAAAAGTTAAGGCCCCTTTAGGAATTATAATTTTACATGTTCACCATGTAAAATTTTAGATGGAATATATATTCAATATAATATGTATATGTAAATGTGTAAATACACACTGTGTGGTACAGTCCATAGCTAACGGTTTATGCTTCTTTTTTTTTTTTTTTTGCCTGTCCTGGGTCTTGAACTCAGGGCCTGGGCACTGTCCCTGAGCTTTTCTTGCTCAAGGCTAGCACTCTACCACTTGAGCCACAGCGCCACTTCCAGCTTTTTCTGTTTATGTGGTACTGAGGAATTTAACCCAGGGTTTCATGCATGCTAGGTAAGCACTCTACCACTGAGCCACAGTGCCACTTCCCGTTTTCTGGTGGTTCATTGGAGATAACTTTCCTGCCTGGGCTGGCTTTGAACTGCGATCCTCAGATCTCAGCCTCCTTAGTAGCTAGGATTACAGGTGTGAGCCACCACACCCATCTGGAATTTAAATTTGTTGTTACTGCCAGTCCTGGGGCTTGAATTCAGGGCCTGGGCACTGTCCCTGAACTTCTTTAGCTCAAGGCTACCACTTGTGCCACAGCACCACTTCTAGCCTTTTCTGTGTATGTGGTACTGAGGAATGGAACCCAGGGATTCATGCATGCTAGGCAAGCACTCGACCACTAAGCCACCTTCGCAGCCTTACATAATGGAACTTGAAGTTGGTTTTGTTCCAAACAGCTCACTTATTTTTCCAGCTCGTGCTGCGATCTATTAATTCTTCTTGTTCAGCCTATGGATATGCCCTCTTCTCACCTGTGTTTTTTGAACAATATCAATGGTCAACGTCAGGGACAATGAATCATGATGACATTCCACTGACTTTAAATTTCAAGTTCACAATGCAGGTAAATCTTCATGTTTTTCTTTCATACATGACAAAAATCCATCTGCTCAACACTACACATTGGCATGCAGATCCCTCAGCTCATTTATGAATACACATAACCAAGTTGGGTTTAAGAAGATAAGCAGCTATATCAGGTACCTGTTTAATAGTTGTCATGTGTTTCTTTTACAGTCTCTTCTGCCCATCTTTAAATGTCTGAATTTCCTTGAGAGGAATGTTGAGAAGTGCAAAATGTTCACAAAATCTGGGAAGTGCAGATTTATTATTCAGCTCTTCTGCAAGCACAGTAGGTATAACTGAATGGTTTAAAATGCTGTTTCTGCCGGGTGCCAGTGGCTCACGCCTATAATCCTAGCTACTCAGGAGGTTGAGATCCGAGGATCTCGGTTCAAAGCCAGCCCAGGCAGGAAAGTCCCTAAGACTCTTCAATAAACCACCAGAAAACCGGAAGTGGTGCTGTGGCTTAAGTGTTAGAGCACTCACCTTTTGCTGAAGAGGTGAGGGACAGCGCCCAGGCCCAGAGTTCAAACCCCATGACCAACAAAAAATAAAAGGGCTGGGAAGGTGGCTCAGTGGTAGAGCATTTGCCTTGCATGCATGAGGCCCTGGGTTCGATTCCTCAGCACCACATAAGCAAAAAAAAGAAAAAAGCCAGAAGTGGTGCTGTGGCTCAAGTGGTAGAGCGCTAGCCTTGAGCTGAAGAGCTGAGGGACAGCGCCCAGGCCCAGAGTTCAGGCACTATGACCGGACCCCCCCCCAAAAAAAAATAAAAATAAAATGTTGTTTCTTCTGAACTGGTTTTAGTTTGAGAATATTGAAACTTACTCTCAAGACCTCTGCTGTAGCATCATTGCTTGGGCGAGTAAAGGTATTCCCTTGTCTATCCCTGTTCCTGTATGATGATTGGTATTAGGCATTTCTTTTTATTTTTTTAATTAAAAAAAAAACAAGGAAACAAACAAAAGATGCCTCATAATGTTACAATTTATATATTTTTTCTTCCCCAGCTGTTCTGGGTTTTGAGCTCCAGGTCTTGGGCTTCCTGGGCAGAAATTCTACCTATTGAGCCACATCTTCAACATTTTTGCTATCTATCTATCATCTATCTATCTATCTATCTATCTATCTATCTATCTATCTATCTAGGATAGGGCCTCAGTGCTCCATCCTCTGCTTATACCATCTAAGAAGCTAGGATGACAGGTGTGTATCCCCAGAGTTATCTAATATTTCTTAATTTTATCTTAAGCTTATCTTTGTGGTAATTGTTTGGTCCTGGGACTTGAACTCAGGACCTGGGTGCTGTTCCTGAGTAATAAGAATCTCATAGATTTTCCTTCCCAGGCTGGCTTTGAACCACAATCCTCAGATCAACCTCCTGAGTAGCTAGGATTACAGGCATAAGCCACCAGCACCTAGCTCTTAATAACATTATCTCAGGGCTGGGAAGTTGGCTCAGTGGTAAAGCGCTTGCCTTGCATGCTCGAGGCCCTGGGTTCTATTCCTCAGCACCACATAAGCAAAAAGAAAAAAGCTGGAAGTGGCGCTGTGGCTCAAGTGGTAGAGCGCTAGTCTTGAGCTGAAGAGCTGAGGGACAGTGCCCAAGCCCAGAGTTCAGGCCCCATGACCGGACCAAAAAAAAAAAAAAAAAGAAAAGAAACATTATCTCAGTATGCATTTTTATCCTGATTTTTTTGCCTATAAATATCAATGATTTAACATATTTCTCCTTCCAATGATTTAACATATTTCTCGTTCATATAACAGCAAAATCACACGCTGTTAGTCTTGAAAAGTCACTATGTCTCACTGTGGTTTTAGCTTCTAAGACTTAGTTTCTCCCCATCCTGCACAACATGGTGAGGGGCAGAGAATGATTATAGGATGCAGGCTACAATTTGTGGCACATTGTAGACTGAGCATGCCTAATTTGAAAATCCAAAAGATGACAAAATGTGATTTCCAAATCAGGGGTGTTCCACTTGTAAGGTCTGTGCAAATGCCAAAGAACTCCCAAATCTGAAATATTCAGGTTCTGAGCATTTGGGGGAGTACTTGGGTACTTAGCATGTTTTCGTACCTCACCAAGGGAAAAAAATTCACAGGCCAGATGTGAGGGTCTAACTCTGAAAGTCCTGCACAAAAAGGTACTATGGTTGGAGGGTGGTGGAGCCTTGGTAGTGAGTGGCACTGGTTTACAATGTCAAAGCCCACCTATCTAAAGGAATTCCAGTTTAGTGTGGTCAAGCTGCATGGCATGTCACCTTGTGACCACTAGGGGACGATAGCATACTTCATTAAAGAGTGCTGCTTCAAACTAGTTCTTTGCCACACAATAAATGTTACTTATTGTTTTAAGTTGCCTAAAACAACAACAACTAGCTTACATTACTTATACAGAGGAGGATTTCTTTTTTTATTTTTTCTGGTTGGTCATGGGGTTTGACCTTTGGGTCTGCGTGCTGTTCCTGAGCTTTTCCACTCCGGTAGCACTCTACAACTTTGAACCACACACCAATTCTGATTTTCCAGTGGTTAATTGGAGATAAGAGTCTCATGGATTTTCCTGCCTGGGCTGGCTTTGAACCAAGATCCTCAGATCTCAGCCTCCTAAGTAGCTAGGATGACAGGTGGGAGCCACTGGCACCCGGCTCAGAGGAGGATTTCGTTGTTACACTTTCACACGTGTACAACATGTTCCAATTATTGTTTTAACTTGGCTGTGAAACTTAAAGACTTAAAATCTATTTTGCCTTTACAATAGTTAAAAGGATGCTTTATTTTTTTTAAGGTATTAAAAAAACCCATAACCTGCGCTTTGAAGAAAGCCGGCCTATCCAAGTTCTTCTCGAAAAGAACATGTGTACTAATATACTAGTGATTCAGCCAAGGTAATCAGTTTCCAGTGTTTTTTCCCTTTTTCTGAATATAGTGTGGTTACAGAGGGACGAATTAATGCCCTAGAGCTTTTCAATCAGTTATAACTTGTTATTTTTAAATTATTGTGTTTTGTTTTTTGTCAGTAGTGGGGCTTAAACTCTCTTGGGACCTGAGTGCTGTCCTTGGGCTCTTCAGCTCAAGGCTAGCGCTCTACCACTTGAGCCACAGCACCACTTCCAGTTTTCTGGTGGTTAATTCTCCTAACTAATGCCTTCCTCCCCAGTTGCTGGGCTTACAGGAGTGTGCTGTCATGCCTAGCCCCTAAAGCTTTTTGTAACACTAAAACTTGACTTAGAGAGATATCACTTTAAGGAAACCTTGAGTAAGATAATAGTAGATAATAACTGCCTAAAGGTAGTGATAATATAATGGCCAAGAAAGCTCTAAAAATATCCCACCTTCAGCTTTCTATATTCCCTTCTAGCCACAGAGGAAAACCTTGACCGTAAATTACTACCTCATACTTCACATTTAGCCAGATGCCAGTGGTTCATACCTGTAATCCTAGCTACTCAGGAGGCTAAGATCTGGGGATCTTTGTGCAAAGCCAGCAGTGGCAGCAAAGTCCATGAGACTCCTGTCTCCAGGTAACTACCAAAAAAAATAAGCTAGAATGGTGCCTTGGCTCAAGTGGTAGAATGCTAGCCCTGAGAGAAAACCCAGCTCAGGGATAGCACCCAGTTCCCGGGGTCAAGACCCATGACTGACAAAAAAATAAAGGAGAAAGAGCTAAGTACGGCCCTTTAGTAATAATCCTTATTTAGCTGTGTGTTCCTGGCTCAAGGTCTCGGGAGGCGGAGGACAGTGCCAGCACCGTGCGCCTCACCTGACCACTCCCCTGGGGCCTTCACAGAATCCACTTCTGAGCTCCAAATGGAGCTGCGCCTGTGGGGTGCCTGTGTGTCTCACAGATGGCAGCTGATGATCTGAGCAAAGAGGAAGAGAAAGGAAACACGAGTCTCCCAGCTGCAAACCTGTTTCACACTCCAGCCTTCTGACTTAGAAGTGAACCCTTAGAGCCAGCCCACGCTGGAGGAGGAGGAGGCGATGGGACATGAATACAAGGAGGTGGGGATGTCGGGGAGGCCATGCTATAGCCACCACATACAGTTCTAGAAATGGACTTCAAAGGATCTTCCTACCTCAGCCTTCCTAGTGCTGGTATTACAGGCCTGCATCACCATGCTCAGCCAACAATGCTAATAGAGTTCACTGTACTTTACAGATTACTGGCTGAGACGGTTGTTCTTTTCCCATCAAATCTAGAGGAAGTTACCCTCGCTGTCACATCAGTGGATTTTTGCCTCAGGAGTTCTAATGAGCAAGCCACAGGTAAGGATAATATGTGTGTCCTGGTGTGCTGGGGTCATTGCTAGCCACACAGCACACAGCGTATTGTAGTATCATTCCTGCCTAAGAAGCAGGAAGACGTGAAAAGATTAGAAAAAGCTCTAAGAGATCCAGGAATTTTAACACAAATAGTAACATAATTTGTAATTCAATATTTGGTTTTGAATTTTAGGTTTTTAAATGAAGGAAATGATGACTAAGGAAAATATACTTTGTTAAGGTTGCAATGTCTGGGCTAGGAAGGTGGCTCAGTGGTAGAGTGCTTGTCTTGCATGCATGAGGCCCTAGGTTCAATACCTCTGCACCACATAAGCAGAAAAAGTAGGAAGTGGTGCTGTGGCTCAAGTGGTAGGATGCTAGCCTTGAGCTGAAGAGCTGAGGGACAGTGCCCAGGCCCAGAGTTCAGGCCTCACGACCAACAACAACAACAAAAATTTAAAAAGTTGTCATGTTCGTCTCTTATCTTCTGCTGTCCTCTGTGTTTAGCAGAAAGGAGAACCGAGTGCCCAGCAGTCCATGCGTGCAAATACACCACGTGACCACATTTAGCACTCACTGTCTTCTTAGCCCTCCAACTCCATCCTCCTCCCAGCCCAGCTTCCAATCCTGATGTTAAACTTCCAGCACTGCTATATTTTATTTGTCACAGCAAAGAGGAGGGGACACAGACATGGACCTCCACCTTCTCAGTGAATCTGTGGCTACTGTGGTTATATTCTTATATTAAAACTTAATATTTTTAGGACAGCCGGGCGCCAGTGACTCACGCCTATAATCCTAGCTATTCAAGAGGCTGAGATCTGAGGATCATGGTTCAAAGCCAGCCCAGGCAGGAAAATCCGTGAGACTCTTTATCTCCAATAAACTACTAGAAAACCAGAAGTGGTACTGTGGCTCAAGCAGTAGAGCATTCACCTTGAACTGAAGAGCACAGGGACAGAGCCCAAGCTCAGAGTTCAAGCCCCACAACCAACCAAAAAAAAAAAAGACTTTTAGGACTAAATTTTTTTATTTTCCTCTAACATTAAACAGACATGAACAGTTCCGTGCGCAGCTCGATGTGTGTGGACAGAGACGAGTTTGACTTCTTTCAGATTGGACTAGATACTGAAGTAACGTTTTGTCTCAAAGATTTGAAGGTAAGAAAATATTTGTGTGAAATTCAAATTTAAAATTTCACTGATTTTTTTTTCCTGTCAGTCATGGTACTTGAACTCAGGGCCTGTGCTTTCCTACTATGAGCCACAGTTCCACTTCCAGTTTTTGAGTGGTTAATTGGAAATAAGAGTCTTACAAGGTCCCCGCTGCTCCTATGACTGTGTTTGTGTAAATATATAAATAAATGCATTTGTTCATTTGGGGAAAAAAAAAAAGAGGCCTACAAGGAATTTCTTCCGGGGAAGGCTTCAAACTGTGATCCTCAGATCTCAGCCTCCTGAGTAGCTAGGATTATAAGCACCAGTGCCTGGTAGTAATATTTTTGGGAAAAAATTTCAACTTTTCTTATTTCCTTCCTTCAGGGCTTCCTGACACTCTGTGAAGCTGTGCGTGGTCCCGTCGCCATACATTTTGATTTTCCTGGGAAGTAGGTCTTAGGAACTGATTATTTCTTTTGTTTCATATAGGTAACAATCCTCTGGATCAAAATTAATTTTTAAAACATCTCAGGAATTTCTTACTCATTTTTGTGCTAGAGTCCTGAGGTGTTGGTACTGTCCCTGAGGTTTGTGCTCAAGGTTAGGCTTTACTACTTGAGCCACAGCTCCACTTCTTGCTTTTTCTTTTTGCTTGGTCCTGGGGTTTGAATTCAGGGCCTAGGCAGTTCCTGAGCCTCTCTGTGCTCAAGACTAGCACTCTACCACTTGACCTACAGCGCCACTTCAGCCTTTTTCCAAGTAGTTCATTGGAGATAAGAATCTCGTGGACTTTCCTGTCTAGGCTGGCTTTGAACTGTGATCCTCAGATCTCAGCCTCCTGAATAGCTGGAATTACAGGGGAGAGCCGCCAGTACCTGGCCATATCCTGTTTTTTTTTTTTGTTTGTTTGTTTTTTGATGCTCAGAGATAAAAGAGTCTCACAGGACTCTTCTGCCTGGGCTGGCTTTGAACAGCAATCCTCAGATCTCAGCCTCCTGAATAGCTAGGATCACAAGCATAAGCCACTGGTATCTGGCAGTATTTTCTTTTCCCAGTCCTGGGGCTTGAACTTAGGGGCCTAGGCACTGTCCTCCAAGCTCCCTTTGCTTAAGGCTAGCGTTCTACCACTTGAACCATAGTGCCACTTCCAGCTTTTTCGTTTTTTCTTCCTTTTTATGTATCAGTTTTGGAGGCTGAACTTTGGGCCTGGGTGCTGTCCCTCAGCTCTTCAGCTAAAGGCTAGCGCCCTACCACTTGAGCCACAGCACCACTTCTGGCTTTTTTCTGCGTATGTGGTACTGAGGAATTGAACCCAGAGCCTCATGCATGTGAGGCAAACACTCTACCACTGAGCCAGTTTCCCAGCCAGGAATGTTCTGAACTTTACTAATAATACTCAAAATTGTGGAAGATGACTTTTAGTGGGGGGGGGGGGTTAGTGCTGGGGTTTTAAGTCAGGACCTCACACTTGACAGGCAAGAGGTGTACCATTTGATTCATACTCCCCAGCCCAAGATAACATTTTTATGTGTGTTTGCTGGCCCTGGGGCTTGAACTCAGGGCCTGGGCTCTTTTGCTCAAAGCTAGTGCTCTAACACTTGTGCCACAACTGTACTTCTGGCTTTTTGGTGGTTAATTGGAGTTAAGAGTCTCATAGACTTTCTTGCCCAGGCTGGTTTTTAAACATGATCCTCAGATCTCAGCCTCCTGAGTAGCTAGGTTTTAGGCTTGAGCCACCAGCACCAGGCAGAAACATATACTTGTATTGTTTCTTTTTACTCCAGAATTATTTATCATTTTATACTGTGTTTCAAATGTCCATCAGAAAATAAATACCATTTTTACTGACTTTGTCCCTTTAGGCCAGTGGCACTAAGTATTAATGATATGCTATGCGAAGCTCACTTCTACTTGGCTACCTTGGCTGATGACCCAAGCAGACCGCCCTCCCCTCTGTCCCTGTGCCTGCCCCAGGAAGGAGAAAGGTGAGGCTCCATTCCTCTATGTGATTGGCTGAAAGAGCTGCATGGCCTTTACTTAGAAAACAACTGAGGAGGCTAGGAATGTAGCCTAGCGGTAGAGTGCTTGCCTAGCATGCATGAAGCCCTGTGTTCGATTCCTTAGTATCACATAAACAGAAAAAGGCAGAAGTGGTGCTGTGGCTCAAGTGGTAAAGTACTAGCCCCGAGCAAAAGCTCAGGGACAGTGCCCAGGCCCTGAGTTCAAGCTCCAGGACTGGCACAAAAAAAAAAAGAAAAAGAAAACAACTGAGGAAGGAGCATTACCTGAGAATCTGAAGAGCAGCTGGGAGGCTGAACCATAGCATGGGAGACTTTCTCATCTGATCAGAATTGAACAGGATGGTCTCATGTATCTTCATTATCACTCAAAACACATGTCCTGTTGGCTTTTAAGGGTGGTAAAGGATTAGCTGTCCCAGAAAGCATATTCACTCCTGTGCCCCCTTCTCACAGGGGGGAGGGGATGGGGGGAAGAGTAGGGAGTGCTGTGCAGATGCCCGGCTTCTCTCTCCTATTCTTTTCCTTTGTAACTGTTTTTGGGGAGGCATGCTTCGTTGTAAGCTAATTTCAAAGTTACAGAAAATACAGAAAATCTAAGCCGGGCAATAGTGACTTACACCTGTAAATCCTAGCTACTCAGGGGATCATGGTTCTAAGCCAGCCCAGGCAGGAAAGTCCCTGAGCCTTTTTTTTTTTTTTTTTTTGGGTCCGGTCGTGGGGCCTGAACTCTGGGCCTGGGCACTATCCCTCAGCTCTTCAGCTCAAGGCTAGTGCTCTACCACTTGAGCTACAGCGCCACTTCTGGCTTTTCTTTTTGCTTATGTGGTGCTGAGGAATCGAACCCAGGGCCTCATGCATGCAAGGTCAGCGCTTTACCACCGAGCCATCTTCCCAGCCCCTCCCTGAGACTCTTATCTGCAATAAACCACCAGAAAACGGGAGGTTCTGCTGTGACTCAAGCCATGGAGCGCTCACCTTGAGCTGAAGAGCACAGAGATAGCACCCAAGCCCAGAGTTCAAGCGCCACGACTGACAAAAAAAAAAAAAAGAAAGAAAATACAGAAAAAGTACAAAAAAAAAAAAAAAAAGCACCTTCTCGAGACAGCCACTATTAACATTTTGGCTCACTGAATTTTTTTTTTTTTTGGGTCCGGTCTTGGGGCCTGAACTGTGGGCCTGGGCACTGTCCCTCAGCTCTTCAGCTCAAGGCTAGCGCTCTACCACTTGAGCCACAGCGCCACTTCCGGCTTTTTTCTTATGTGGTGCTGAGGAATAGAACCCAGGGCCTCGAGCATGCAAGGCAAGTGCTCTACCACTGAGCCACCTTCCCAGCCCCTCACTGAATTTTCATTCAGACTTTGTTTGCATATACATATGCCTATGCATACTCATGACGTGTGTGTGTGTGTCTGTGTGTGTGTGTGTGTTGCAGTGCTGGAGATGGAAGCTAGGGCCTTGCACATGCTAGCCAATTCCTCTATCACTGAGTTAAACCTTCAGTCCTGTATATTTATATTTTAAACAACATCATATGTCTTTTGTATCCTTTTTCCTCCCACAAAGTACATTATGGACATGTTTGTATTATCCATTATGACTCAGAAACATGGGTTTTCATTACCTCAAAAATTATATCATAGCCGGGCGCTGGTGGCTCACGCCTGTAATCCTAGCTACTCAGGAGGCTGAGATCTGAGGATCGCGGTTCAAAGCCAGCCCGGGCAGGAGAGACCGTGAGACTCCTATCTCCAATAAACCACCAGAAAACCGGAAGTGGCGCTGTAGCTCAAGTGGTAGAGCGCTCGCCTTGAGCTGAAGAGCTGAGGGACAGCGCCCAGGCCTAGAGTTCAAGCCCCACGACCGACAAAAAAAAAAAAAAAAAAAAAATTATATCATATACATGGCTAGTGGTTTATTTTTTTCTTATTCAGTCCTGTTACCGCATTATTACACTATCTCCTATAACTGGGTTATTTTATTGAAAGATTCAAAAATAATCACAGACATGAATTGTAATTTTCAACAAGCAGCTCTGTTGTTTGGATGCATGTCCTAAGTTAGGATGTCACGTGTCTCCACCGGTAGTAATAACCACTCTCTCACTGACCCTCAGGTCCAGTCCAGCACGGGCAAGGCTGACCCTGGGTCAGAGTAGAAGCAGCCAGGCTGCAGAGAGCATCTCAAGGAAAATTTCACGGAAAAGGCTGTGTCCCGCTGAGTCTCCCCCGGAGAGTGGTGCCCAGGAAAACCACAGCAGTCCTCTGAAGAAGAGAGCACCCAGTGAGGAGCACCCAGACAGGGAATCCAGCCCAGTGTTCAGGAGGGTAAGAGAAATACTGACATGACCCGTCAGGGTGGAGCGTTTTCCACCCCCATCACCCCAGTGTCCTGACCACTCATTTGTTTGTTTTTCTTGGCCATGAGGACTGGAGCCAGAGCCTCTAGCAATTAAGCATGTGTCTACCACTGACAGCCCCTTTCTGAGTTCCCAGTCCTTCTACTTGCTAGGCCAGCATTAACCTGAGCCACACCTCCAGCACTGGTTTTTGCTGTTTTGTTTCTTGGCCAGTCCTGGGACTTGAACTCTGGGCCTGGGCACTGTCCTTGAGTTTCGTTTGCTCAAGGGTAGCACTCTGCTACTTGAGCCACAGTGCCACAGGAAAGTCCATGAGACTCTTATCTCCAATAAACCACCAGAAAACCAGAAGTGGCGCTGTGGCTCAAGTGGTAGAACGCTCGCCTTGAGCTGAAGAGCTGAAGGACAGTGGCCAGGCCCAGAGTTCAAGCCCCATGGCCAACAACAAAGAGCACATGATTATTTCCTGGGGGATGGGAGGATGTGGCTCTATGGTATAACATTTGCCTGCCATGCACAAGGCCCTGGGTACCCACCCCAGGGCCACATTTACACACAAAAATAGTTATTTCATTGAAGAAAAGTCAGAAAACACAAATAGTAAGAGATGAACAATTACTTCACAAATTCCTCTATGGTTAACTCTTCCACATGGACATTCACACATACATTTTTTTCAGTTCTGGGGATGGAACCCAGGACCTTTGTGTCCACCACAGACCTGCACAACCCACCCCAACCATAAGATAAATTTAGACTTACTTGTCAATAGCACAAGCAAATCTCACACACCATCACCCAGCTTGCCCACAGGTCCGCATCGTAGACCTGCTGCATCTCCTCAAACCTGGGCCATTTGTTTTCTGAGTCTTCTCCCTCCCTCTATTGTGCCATGGTGTCTGAATTTGGGCTTTTCTGATGTTTCCTCACGGTTAGGTCTCGACCGAGCATTTGGGATGAGAACAAAACGTGCTGATGTTGACGACTGGTGATGTGGCTGCCAACTTTCCCTGCAGAAGTGACTTGTTTGCTCCCAGCAGCTGCTGAGCCTCTGGGAGAGGCTTCAGGACTCAGTGTGCCCCACTTTGCCCCACTTCTCTGCCTAATGACTTAGCATCCACGGATGCTGTCATTATCATGCCACCACATGCCAAGAGCTGATTTTTGTTACGTGCTGCTGTTTATTAGGTGAACCTCCACTTTAAGACTGCTCTTCTCTACCATTTGCTTCTCATTTGGCTATTTCTGTCACATGCTCTTGGCTGACGTTTTATTCTACAGACTGGATTTGTCTACACTGCCGCGGAGCTGGCCGCTCCGACCACAGTACTCTGAGCACTTGCTTCTCCTTCCTTTGGAGTCTTATGTATTCAGTCCGTGCTCACTTTGCCGATTTCTGGTGAGGCAGAACATCTGGATGTCCCCCACCCACCCCCTACAGCCAGATGTCACCTACACCCAGTCCTTCCTGAGCGAGCTTTCACTTCAGAACAAACAGTGCAGTTCTTTCTCCCTCTGGTTTTCTTCCATGTTCTTTGGAGCAGTTTCTTCCAATCAACAAGAACACACCAATCACTCTTCCCATAGTCTGGCAGTAGCAAAGGACAGTGACCGGAACACTAGTGACATCTAACCTTTAGCAGGGTTGAGGCCGCCCACGAGGAAGCTCGAGTTGCACCACTGGCAGCCTGAAGGAAGAAGGCCATTGTCCCGTACAATGGCGGAATCTAGAGAACACTGCTCAAGAGGCTTAAGTTTTCGGTGCAGAACAAAGCACATCATACTTCTTCGTTGTGTAGCAGGCAGGTCTCCGGAGGTGATGTGGAAGGCGACAGGGTTCCCTGTCCAGCACTGCAGGGACGTGTGCTTTCTGCGCAGGCGCCAGGCGCAGCATACACTCAGTATCTGCCATACTTGCTGGGAGCACTCAGGTTTTGCTGCTTTCAGAATTGGCAAAAACTTAGCCCATTTTTCCTCACGTGATGACATGACTTTTTAATGCATTGTTTTGAGACTTTAAAATAACCCTGGAATTGGGAAAAAGGATCAAGAATAAAATATAACTACCTTTGAAGTTACTGTAAAGTTCTTTCCTGACCTTCAATTGTTCTTCTGTTTGGGTTTTTTTTTTTTTAACTGTATTTCTTTTTTTTTTTTTGTCTTTTCTTTTTTGGTACTTTTTGGATCAAACCCAGGACGTTGCACTTGCTAGGCAAGCGCTTTGCCACTGAGCTACATCCCAGCCCTTCAATTGTTCTTCTATCATTATGACTTCTATTCTGAAGTTGGATATAGAAAGTATCCAGAGAAAATGCCAATACTTCTGTGTTTGCTGGCACAGAGCAGCCTCCACTTGAGGGAGACAAGAGTCTCAGTTCTTTGCTTCTTTAATAAAGGGCCGGCTCTGGTGGCTCTCACCTGTAATCGTAGCTACTTAGGAGGCTGAGATCTGAGGATTGCAGTTCAAAGCCAGCCCAGGCAGGAAAGCCCATGAGACTCTTAACTATAATTAACCACCAGAAAACCAGAAGTGGTGCTGTGGCTCAAGTGATAAAGCACTCATCTTGAGCCGAAGAGTTGAGGGACAGCACCCAGGCCCAGAGTTTAAGCCCCACAACTGGGGGAAGGGGGGGGTGAGGGGGGGAAAGAGCTATAGCCAGGCACCAGTAGCTTTTGCTGTAATCCTACCTAAGAGGCTGAGATCTGAGGATCAGTGTGAAGCCAGCCCGGGCAGGAAAATACGACTTTTTTTTTTTTTTGGTCGGTTGTGGGGCTTGAACTCTGGGCCTGGGCGCTGTCCCTCAGCTCTACAGCTCAAAGCTAGCACTCTACCACTTGAGCTACAGTGCCACTTCCAGTTTTCTGGTGGTTTATTGGAGATAAGAGTGTCACGGACTTTCCTGCTCTGGCTGGCTTTGAACCGCGATCCTCAGATCTCAGCCTCCTGAGTAGCTAGGATTACAGGCATGAGCCACCAGCACCTGGCGAAAATAAGATTCTTATCTCCAATAAATACCAAAAAAGTTGAAATCAGGGTTGTGGCTCAAGTGGTAGAGAGCTACTTTGAGCAAAAAAAGCTCAGTGCCTAAGCCCTGAGTTCAAGCCAGTACGAGCAAAAACAACAAAAACAAAAAACCCCTTAGCTCCAACCAGGAGGATGAATGAGGAGGGATAGGGTCAAGGTAGATGGTATGTATATATGAAAATCTGAGAATGGAACCTGTTGGAATTGTAAGAATTAGCCTCATGGTACCACTAAAAAAAATAAGGAAGCCTGGTGCCAATGGCTCATGCCCATAATCCTAGCTACTCAGGAGGATGAGATCTGAAAATGGTGGTTCAAAACCAGCCTGGGCAGACAAACTTGAGACTTACGGTTGGGAATGTGGCTTAGTGGTAGAGTGCTTGCCTAGCAGGCATGAAGCCCTGGATTCCATGACTCAGTACTACATACATAGAAAAAGCTGGAAGTAGTGCTGTGGCTCAAGAGAAGCTCAGGGACAGTGCCAGGCCCCAGGACTGGCAAAACAAAAAACATAAAACACAAAACCTGAGACTTATGTGTCCAAATATCCACCCAAAATACCTGAAATGGAGGTGTAGCTCAAGTGACAGAGCACTAGCCAAGAGCACAAAAGCTCAGGGACAGCACCCAGGCCCTGAGGTCAAGCCTCTGGAGCGTGTGTTTGTGTGCACACACACACATGCATGCACGTATGCACACGCGTGCACGCGCGCACACACACACACACACACACACGCACACACACACACACACAAAACTAGCTTCTTACCAGCACCAACAGACTAACATACCTGGCACAAAGGCAACGTTATGTAATGTCTTAGAGCGTGTGCCCTTCCCCTCCCTAAGCCTGCTTGTAGTTCACTGTACCCTGGCAGACAAGCCTCGCACCTTACTGATGTGACTGCTGAGTTTCTGGAAAACTGTCAAACCATAGGAAATGTTCACTGGCAAGCAGTCCTACTTTAGATCCTGTGAGAATTGAAAAGGTGACTTGGACCTGGTGTGCTTTAGAACTGTGAACAGTTTAAAGTGAAAGCTCAGTGAATTTGGCTCTTACAGCTTAGTAATGAGTCATACTGCCCACAGTAACCCAATAAAACTCAAGCGCATCCAAGATGTCCCTCCATGAATGAAAATGGCTGTTAGCAGGATTTTTTTTTTTTTTTGGTCGGTCGTGGGGCTTGAACTCTGGGCCTGGGCGCTGTCCCTCAGCTCTTCAGCTCAAGGCGAGCACTCTATCACTTGAGCTACAGCGCCACTTCCGGTTTTGTGGTGGTTTACTGGAGATAGGAGTCTCACGGTCTCTCCTGCCTGGGCTGGCTTTGAACTGCGATCCTCAGATCTCAGCCTCCTGAGTAGCTAGGATTACAGGCGTGAGCCACCAGCGCCCGGCTCTTGTTAGCAGGACTTTTGTGGAAACTGGCAATGCCCACATACCTTCAACTCCACCCCCTCACATCGCAGGCTGAGCATTTCGGGGTATCATGCTTACTCTGATGACACCAAATTTCTTTTCCTTATTTTGGTCAGTCACAGGGCTTAAACTCAGGGCCTGGGCGCTGTCCCTGAGCTCTTTTGCTCAAGGCTAGTGCTCTACCACTTTAAGCCACAGCACCATTTCTAGTTTTCTGGTTAACTGAATATAACATCTCACAGAGTTCATGCCTGTAATCCTAGCTACTCAAGAGGCTAGAAGCTGAAGATCAAGGTTCAAAGCCAGCCCAGGCAGGAAAGTCCATGAATCTAGAGTTCAAGTCCCAGGATTGGAGGGGGGTGGGGGGGAGGGGGGAAATAGTTACAAACTTTACTACCTAGGCTGGATGTGACCTGCAATCCTTAGTTCTCAGCTTCCTGAGTAGCTAGGATGACAGGCATGAGTCACCAGTACCCGGCTGACACCAAATTTCTGATATTCAACCAATGCAGATGACGGCTAAGCACTTACTGCTCCAGTTTCTGGTGCATCACCAAGCAAGCCAGGCCTAGCGCTGTCCTGGTAGGAACAGCATGTTTATCCCTATGAGGTGCCCTACCCGGGGCTATTTTTACATATTCTTATGCTGGAAACTCTGGGCCTTGTACACACCAAACACTGTGCCACAGAGCCACTCCAGCCCTTACAGAGCTAAGTTTAAAGATACCAGATTTTTAAAATTTTTGGGTGTATGCAAACAAGCTGCACTGTGTACCTTTGAAGGCACAGAGCCTTCCTGAGCTGGGAAAACTGTTCCATGTCACATGCTGATCATTTTCTGAGGAAGCTTGCCAGTCATAGGAAATCACCTGTTGAGAAAAGGCAGTTCCAAGTAGAAGACAGAGGATGATAGCTGAGAAGTGTGGGCTCACTGTCAGGAAAAGAAACCTGGAGCTGGGCGCGTGTGGCACATGTCTGTAATCCTAGCTACTTAGGTGACTGAGATCTGAGGATTGCAGTTCAAAGGCAGCCCAGGTAGAAAAGTCCCCATGAGAGATGGGCACCTGTAGCTCGCGCCTGTAATTCTAGCTATTCAGGAGGCTGAGATCTGAGTATGGCCCAGGCAGGAAAAGTCCGTGAGACTCTTATCTCCAATGAGCCACCAGAAAACAGGAAGTGGTGCTGTGGGGCTCAAGTGGTAGAGTACTTGCCTTAGCTGAAGAGCTCAGGGACAGCACCTAGGCCCAGAGTTCAAGCCCCCCAACCACCACCAACAAAGTCCCCATGAAAATCTTATCTCCAATAAACTAATTAAAAAAGCTGGAAATGGTGCACTAGCCTAGAGTACAAAGAGGCTCAGGGACAGCACCCAGGCCCCCCCCCAAAAAAAACCCAAAAACTTGGAAATGACCAACAAACTCAGTGTCAAGAGCTGGTCTTTCACACATAGTCATATTCAATTAGGCATGGTGGCACCCACCTGTAATTCCAGCACTTGGGAGGCTGAAACAGGACAAGACTACTGAATTTCAGGCCAGCCTGGAACAACAACAAACTCAAAGTATGAAACAAAAGAAAAACCAACTACACACATTAGTATAAATACTATATTTATTAAATATCTTTACAGTTTATTTAAATGTATTTACAGAACTATTCCTGCATAAGTTATATTTCAGACATCCAATTCAGGTAACTGCCTCTTGGGTAAGACAAATAATGATAGTCTTAACAGAAAAAAAGCAGCTTGTTAGTACACACAGACTCAACTTTGCTCACTTCCTACCTAGGCATCTTGCCATGCACTACCTGCGAAGTTACATTTTCACGTGGACACTGGTTTTAATTGAGAAGTTCAATTTTGCAACCGACTGAATTAAAAAAAAAAAACAACAACAGACTCCAAATGTTTTCTGCTTCATATTTTGTTTACTAAGCAGGTTTTGTTTTCTGTGGTATTGTAAAATTTGTTAAATGCAAAAATGTGACTCGGTTTCCAGAGAAACTGAATGCAGCAGCTCCATCAGCGAAAGCTGGTATAGGGTGACAAGGACCCGGGAGCTGGTGCTAGGTTCTCCAGTGACCACACACGGTCCTGCCTTATAACCGATGTGGCAGGCTGGCAGGCGGTGCTGCAGTGATGCCTCTGCAGGCTACACTGCCTGAAGAAGGGCAGCTGCAGGAGAGGTCGGAACCGAGTTTCTCATCTAGGCACAGCCCAGCCCCAGACACACACAGGGAATAGCTGCTTATTCATTACCGCCAGTCTCACACCACAGGCATGAGTTCAGTGACTCAGGACAAACTACTTGCTCTCCCCCACTTCCTTTCTCCTTTCAGTGTTTTAATTAAGAGCCTGTCCACTCTCCCCACCTTCTCTCCATTTGGTAATTCTTTTTTTTTTTTCTTTTTTGTTGTGCGCAGGCAGCTTAAGTTCACAGGAAGAAATAAGTTTCTGATATGTTCAGAGTGCACATTTTAAAACAGAACAAAATAAAAATTTCAAGCATGTGATAAAAATATTGATTTGTATAGTACAGTATTGCTTTATAAATATAGATGGAAAGCTATAAACTTTACGGGTCTTTGGTGCGTCCAAAGAGGGATGTATAATTTGCCATTTGTG